TGCTGTCTTTATAATGTCTGCTCTTATGTGATGTTCCAGATGCAAAGAATCCCAAGATAATTTTTAATGCCTGAACTCTTACTGAAAATGATGGATAACACGGCTGCTTTTCTGGCAATTGGCTGTGACTAGGCGAACACACAGTTTAGAGACATTAAAACTTTAACTGTTCAAGTGCCCATGCAACTCTCTGCCCTAGAGCAGGTGTCCCACTGGTCTTCATCTTGGTGAATGGTTTGATTGTTGGCAAATTTACTCTCCCCTGGGAGATGAGGAGATAAATCCAATGTGATTTTGTGTATGCTTTAACAGTTTGTGGTTTTGTTCATGGATATCATAGTGTAAATTCATAAGTCAGTTTTCTCATTCCTGTTTGGATAGAGAATCTTAACTGTATGTGCAGAAGGCAAAGGAAGCAGGTGCTCATCACGAATAAGGTTCATTTTAACATTATCTTCATAAATAGTGATGAAAAGATCCAGAGAGGGGTTGTTCTTGCAGTTGAACACGAGTGTTAGTGAAAGATAAAAAAGGGAAAAAAGTAAGGAGAACACCACACTTGTGAAATGGTATTTTTCTATGTAATTTGAGAAACATTTAGATTTTCTTCATGGTAGGGCTAATTATAATATTCCTCCAGAGCCCCCACACCTATTTGCAGATGTTCACATGTGCAAAGGAGGCTCAGCAATGGTCTAAACAGAGAACTCTCTTCCTTCTTTTCTTTAACTATTTGAGCACTGCTATAAATATTCCATTAATTGGTCTATATTAGTGTGTCTAGGAAAACAAGAAGAATAACTTCTTATCCAAAAATTTCAGTCCCAAGCTTTTCCACAAAGACTTTTAATCCATTTAGAGAAACGCTTTTGATCTTATACCTTGTGGAAGATATTCTGTCAGTTAGTTCCTTTTGCTTTGTTTTTCTCTCTTTCTTACTGAAAACCTCATCTGGGAAGAGTAGGAGATGATGGTCCTGGTATTGCCAGAAGTTCTTTTATGTCATTGGCTGCATTCTGAGTGATTGACAGGTTGTTGGCAATGAAAAACCAGCAGTTGAGACTAATGATCATATCTATGACTCACACATTTTCCATACTGAATATTACCTTTGGCAGCAATTTTCTTCTGCAAAATACAGAATGTCTTTTTATATTTAAAGAAAAAAGGAGGAGAGTGTAAATGTGCACTCTTGAAAATCATTACCTGTTGTGTTTATTTTTTTTAGAAATATTTTCTCCTGTTATTTAACAGATTATTTGATAAATTGCATTAAAAAAAAAAAAATTTCCCAAAATACAGTATCTATAGGTTGTGTGCATTTTAATTTATTTTTACTAAGTTGTGTCCAAGAATAGGCAAATTATAGAACCAGTCTATCCAAGTTCTAATGCTTATGGGGAAAGGAATATGTGAAGACAAATGGAAAGTACTGAAGCCTGTGCAACAACACTGGGTTTTTGAAGAACTCCCCCTGACCCCTCTTAATATTTTCTTTCCATCTTCTTCATGAGTCTGGTACTGGCAGTGCTCATAGAAGGAGTTGCTGCTTTTGGGACCTGGGTGAATATCAGAAGCTTTCCTCCTTCTTTGTGATTTTTGTTTTCTGTGTTTTAGTACACAAGTAATGATTAAAGTTGATTCTCCTTCAGTATGAGATGTGCAGACTGAAAAAAGAAATTAGAATAATCCGGTATGAGGATACACTAGGCTGTAAGAAGTTTAATGATTTCCTTTGGATTTTGTAAGGTTGGCCCAATATTTTTACTATACATAGAATTCCTTGTTACATTTTGTGCATATTCAGCAGATTTCTTACTGTTGTCTCTTTAAAATAAATAAATAAATCTGAAAACAGAGACTAGAACATCTCACAGGAAAGTTGCTGGGAAGCACATTCCCATATCTGGGATCATGGACCAGAACTGTAGTTTCTTGATTAACCTTTATGATGGTTTGAATGGCAAGGTTACCTCATCTTCCTCATGCAGACTGCTTTTGAAATCATGAGTTTTCAGGAGTTAGGTATTAATCATAAGAAATCCCTCCTCCTTTAAAATTGGAAAAGAATTAAGTGAATTTTACTGGAGTCTGATGCAGAACACAGAATTAACCTTATCCAACACTAATGATTCCTGGTAATAGACAAGAAACTTCCTTCAGCTATTTTCAGATTAGATGCAGAGTTCCCACTCAGGCAGGTTAATCACTGAGAAAGGTTAATTGGTGGTTGTAGATTTGTTGTGCTGTGTCAAACATTTCCAGATGCTGATTTTAGCTGTTCTCTACCACTGTGCTTTCTGTGTGACTCCATGTGTCTCTCCAAACTGCTCTATAGATTCTTTGAGTCCTTACAACTTGATAGCAGTTAATTTCCAAATGTAAAACAATTGATGGGCAATTTATCAGTTGTGCCTTGTTACAGAGATTTTCCTTGTGTGTGTTTTGCCTTTGTGCTGTATAACCAGGAAAATACATGTCAGTAAAATGGTATGTTTAGTTAGTGGCTCCTCCCAAAACAACTGGGAAGGTAGATTTTTCCTAACGATAATCCACTCTACTAACTGTGAAAGATTAATTCCTAGAGAGGAGCCAATGTTTTCAGGGATGTTTGTTTAGGGATAAGTTTGAAAAAAATATTTATGCATTGAGGTAAGCAAGCTTGAACATAAATTGATGCATTGAAGAGGGGATAAATCTGTATTGATGGGTTGTATAAAGGTATTTCCTTACTCTGAATTTGCTTAAATTAGCTATATGCCATCCGGCTCATGCTTTAGATTGTCTTCCTTAAAAATGAATATTATTAAAAAAAAAAAGGGAGGGAGGGGGGCTGGAGGGCCAGAACATCCCCCAACCTCTTCCTTATTTTAGGTCAAATTTTAGTGCTAAGACTTTTCCAAATATAAACTTAATAAAAGCAAAATCCTAAGGACTTTCTAAATGTAATTTTATTGCATTTATCTCTACAGCTGAAATTAATTATTCAGAGTGTTCATTAAAAATAAGCTTTGGTAAGTGACATTTTAAACAGGCATTCAGAAGTGATTGCAAGAAAGATGATGATAAAGAACAATGTCTGAAAGGAAGTGTAAAATTCTTGAACGTTTTAAAGTGGCCTGTCAGAACTTCAAATGTAGCTATTTGTACAGTTTGGGAAATCTAACGAGAACATGTGTTGCTGCTACATTCAGGGACTGCCAACATTACCATGGACTGGTGTTTTACCAAGTATTTTGGTGGTTTCTCAAAATGTGCAGTGCTTCCATTGAGAAAATAGACAGAAGTTGCCATTTTTTAAAAATAAGAAATGTGCATTTTTTTTTTTTCCTCTTGATAATGGAGAACATTTGGGAAAGGTGTCTATGAAAGCAACATAAACCCTTGTACTCTAGATAGCCACTTAAAAACTCAGCAGAAACCACTTGTTTATTGCTTAACACTATTCAAACTTCACATACACATGAAAAGCTATTCTATGATTAGACAAACATCTTCTAGAGCTTCTCAAGGTTTGCAGCCCAAGAGGTGTGATGTTCTAGCTGCTAAAGAGAGTCCCAGCTCTGTTCCAGCTAAAAACCAGGATAAAGGTCATTGGCAGTCCCTGAGGAATCCCATTTTTTACTAGCAACAGATGCAATTACTGTAAGAGGGAGGCAGGGCATTAGGTCCTGGGGCTTTTTGTATCCAAAAAAACTGTGGTCAACCATTTTATCTGTGCCAAAGTTGAAATCTATTTATTTTTATCTCTTATGACAGTTTCTCATCTTTTCTTTAGGTCTTAACGATGGATATTGTAGCCCTTAAAGTTTTATGTAGACACATGAATATTCAAGCAAGCAGGCGCGCTGTTACAGCTGAAATAAACAGAGTTGCTGTCAACAGATTTGTTTAATTTGTGTTTCAACAGTTAGCCAAGGAATACAGTTAGGAAAAATAAATGACCATCAGTCATGTTTGAGATGTTGGACCAGTAAAAACAATAGCGGACTATTTACTGTGGGAAGCAGAGAGAAAGAAGAAAGTCTTCTCTGTCACTAAAACACGTATTTTCTTCTAAGTTCTCTCCTTAAATTTACCATAAGCACAGTGGAAACGGTCTTAAATATCAAAACTGTGCCTTACAAGATTGAGTAATGGTGTGGGAAGTAATGGTAATAATCTCTGAAACCAAATTAAATGATAAGTTGCATGCTGGAGACAATTACTTACTTCATATTTACTTTTTACTTTTATAGTGTAGACTTAGCGCTTTTTTCTATACAACACTTCTCTAGCTGTTTCCTTTTCCATTGTCATCATAAGTGATAGAGAAGGCTTTCTGGTTTCTTACACAGGAAATGCTTTTGTGTTGCTTGTTTTAGACTTTTTTTTAATATGTGAAATCCACACAAATAGTTTAGTTTTGTCATTGTTTGGTTTCACTCTTGTCTCCCTACCCCTAGTATCACTCTTGTCTCCCTGCCCTCCAAAAGCCCCCAGCCCTGGAAAACAATACATGCTTTTTAACTAAGCTCATAATCCAATTTTGCAATACTTTTCATTTTTATTTTTTTTTTTCCCCTGGGAATTATCCTGCTAAAAATGGTGCATTACCACGTAAGTTGGCCATAGTACCTCTGAAAATGCTCACTTTCAGACTTTTCAAAACAAGAATTTGGTGTCTCTTTGGAACTGAGATTTGCAGACTTCCTCCTGTATATCTCGAGTTGATGAGTTCTTTATCGCTTTGCCAGGGGTCATGGACTTTTGTATAATTCCATTGAAACCATCCATCCTCTGAAAGAATTTTGAGTACTTGAAATGGTACAGATGTCAAATTCGATGGATTACCAGCTTTAGCATTTGATACATAACAGTGATGCTGGGAGAAAGAGCTAAGGCTTAAAGGCTGTCTCTGGATTTAAGTAGCCTATTTAAACCATAAGACTGTGCTAATGTATTATTTATAAGGTTTGCTCCTTTACATTCCATTTTCCTCTCTGATTTTTGTCTTGTAGTGTTGTCCCTCAGACCACAGTAATACTGAACAACGACCGACAGAATTCGATTGTAGCCAAGATGGTTGGGCAGGAAGAACCATTGAGCAGAGCAGCGGATTCCCTGGAAAATATCCTTAGCAAGTTAGTAGCAGTTACAAGAATCTTCCCCCCTTTGTTCCCTCCTTTGACAGAGCAGTGTCAGTCTCTGCAGCAATCTGAAGTGGAAAATGAGGAATGTTCTAGGTAATAGTGGGGGGTAAAACATTGAACTGGTACTTGAATCTTTTATCAGGCTGACAGTTGTGCTTATGGAAATGCTGTGTCAGCAGTAAAGGGAAGAGCAGCGCTTCAATTCACTCCTGATGGGCAGAGAACACCTTGGAGGATGTGAGATTAGCTCAGTGTTAGCTGACAACGGACAGTGGAAAGAAAGAGTGCCCATAGCTACGTATTTTTTACATGGATGCATGATCACTTGGGAACATGCCAAGATCCTGCATTTAACCAACTGAAGAAAGAATATGCAGTAGCCCAGCAAGGCTTGTTAGAATTTGTACTGTCTAAAGCAACTTTTAAATTAAGTGGAACTGGAGATTCTAGGTAGAAAATGTTCTTAAATAATATGGTTTTATAATTATTTTTTTCTGTTTTGCACACTGGGCCAAGACTTTTCCACTGATGCAAATTTAGAAAGTGTGCATCTAAATTTTTTTTATTTCTTCTGCTATTTTCCTTCCATTTTATTTTGCTGGATAGCTCTTAGTTCTAAAGAGGAGTATGCTTGGTTAAAGGAGTATGCTTTTATAATACATTACATTTTGTCAATTACTGTTTTAATTCCCTTATAATGATACTATTCCTGATCAAGGATTGTATTTTCCCAAAGTCACATATTTTTCTTTTTCATAGTGCTGTTCCTGGACGTAGGCAGAACACCATAGTGGTGAAAGTCCCGGGGCATGACGACAGTCACAATGAAGATGGAGAGAGTGGCTCTGAGGCTAGTGATTCAGTTTCCAACAGTGGACAATTAGGAAGCCAGAGTATTGGGAACAATGTCACACTTATTACGCTGAACTCTGAAGGTATGCTGATCTAAGTGAAGTAAATGTGGTGGTGGAATGAACTAAAATTCAACTGGAAGCTTCATAGATCATATCATGGGTCCAGCCTTGAATTGTTGGGCAGTACAGCAAGCATCGGATAGGAGTGAATGAATCTGCATGAATCATTTGGTGGTTTGTTTCTTGGTTTTAATTCTTTTTCCTAGTTTTATAGGAAGAACAGATAATTAAAATTAGTTGTAAAATTTAAAAAGTATGCCCCACTATATCAGTGTAGCTTTTTATTTGAAACCCTTTAAATTTAAACACGTGCAACCTGCAGGATTTCCTGTCACCAAGTAAAAATATTGTTTCAGGAAAATAAATACCTTCTCTAGGAAAGAAAAATCTACTAGATTATCTCCTCTTGCAAATTATTAGGCCAGTCCACTTGTGTCATTCTTATGAATGTAAAATAGTTATTTTAGCAACTGTAAACAATTTTTATAAGGAAACCTATATTAAATACAGACTATTAACAGGATAGTGTGTAGTGCCAGATTTTTCTGAAAATTCTTCAGGTCTTGGACACAAATCAGAGGTAGTGAAGTCTAAACATTTTAAATTAGCCTTACAAAGGTATTCTATTTTATATGGTTCAAAATATTGAAATGAATTTTAGTTGCTATATTTTAATCAGAAAGAAGATGGGATAAGGAATACTGAGTTCTAGGTGAAAATAAGATGTGAAAACTTCGAAAGCCAGCCTACTGAAAATGTGATACACCGAAGATTGTTTCTGCAAATGCTGTTCTAAGGCCTGAACCTAGAAATCTTCAACTTTTATGGATACTCATACAGCATACACATTTCATAAAGAGCTTTTATGTTCTGTCCTGCATGTATGTTGTGATGCAGAGTTGCTTCTGAAGGATATTTCATTTTGAGTGAGTGGGGAGTTAAAGGAGTCTGAGGCTGTCTGAGGCATTCCTCTCAAAAAACAAAACAAAACAGATTACAGATAATGCTGATATTTTAATGTGAAAATACATATAAAACATACTCTTTTTGGAGTCTGTTAATATTTCATATAACTCTGCATCAACTATGCCAGGAACAAAGTTTCTAACATGAGGATGGTATTTGTTGTCTAATGCCCTTTTTGACTTGGTTGTTTGGCACAGATTTGCTCAGATAAATGTGATGTTGGCCTTTTATGCCATTGTTGTATATGTAAATTTTGAAGAAACGGCTAATCCATTAATGTCTTCAGATCTGATTTTCTTCAGACCTTTAGAACACTCATCCATTAAAAGTCTCTCTGAGATTGATGAATGCTTTGGAAATCAGATTAGTAGTCCCCCACACCTACCTCTTCTTGCCCTCGTGAAGATGAGAGAGGAGCGCTCGCACAGAAGGAATGCTAATCGAACTAGCCTGCAGTATGTCACAGAAATTAAATTATTAATAAAGGAAGTGATGAAGAATAATAGGTCTGTTGTGCAGACTCATTTTCTTCATCAGTAAATGGCAAAAATTACAGCACCCATCAGCTTGCTTTCATCGTCTGTGAAAGAATTCTGAGTGACTTCGAGTTGCTCAAAGGGATCTCAATTAATTGTAAGATACGAGAGGGTGGAGAATGGTGTAGTTCAGCCCTTACGCTCTGAGACTAAACAACAGGTTTTCAGTGCGACTCCCATCTGTCTTCATGTGTCCAGAAAGCAAAAATAAACTGTGTTTATAGTTGGGCTTTAGCTGACTTTGGATATGGCATTGACCTCTGGATATTTTCAGAATTTAGTTAATAGATTTATAGAAAGGCATTGCTTTCTCTCTGCTGCCTGTTTTCAAAGAGCATTTATTCATTTATGGTGGCTTAAAAAATATTAGTGCCATTGCCTTTCTATTCCTGAAAAATAATTACACAGAAGCATGGAGCCCAGTTCCAATAATCATCTAGAATAAGGACGGGGTTTTTTGCCACCTGAACACTGTGACTTTATTCCATCTTCAATTGTATATTACTCTTTTTGCATGTGCAGTAAGGCATGTTCCCTCTTTTCTTTGAGCAACAGTTTTTTTGATTCTTTCTTTTGCTTTTCAGAAAGCTGAAAATGCTCATCCATTTTAGAGATGCAATTAAAGGTCTGCAAAGTTTTAATTTTAAGATGTAGTATTTATGAACTGAAGGCACGTAGAGATACTGAATCTCTAATTTTTGTGAAATTTTGTGAATTTTTTCCAAATTTCACTTTGGAATAATTAATATCCTTTTATGTGGGGATGATACTAGAAATATCAACACCTGATATATCCATTGGACTGCAGTTCTAAGAGTGGTGTTCATAAAGTGATCTCACAGAATTCAGGATAAAACCTATCAAGAGTAGAATTGTTCAGTATTGAGTTACCACTGTAAAATGAAATTAAAATAGGCAAGAAGGCTTACCAGTAAGTGACTTACTATTTTTATTAATGTCATATTTTTGGCATAGAAAATGCTAAGTGTATCCTTATTCAGCCAGCTAAGATATAGTGATTTTTTAATTTAACTTGTAATTTTACCTCATAGATATTAATAACTGTCAAAAGTGATGAGTCTGTTGGTGTTTTGAATGCATGTTAAGAATGTGTCTTTTCCACTCTTAAGTTTGTTGGAGCCCAAGTGGATTCCCTTTCCAAGGGGAAATTAGAGAAGAACAGTTGGTCTGGATGTATGAACAGTAGTGTAAATTTATAACCATATGCTTTAGATGTAAAATTATTTTTCTACACATGGGAGGATAATTTAACACTAAGATGAAAGCTCAAAACTCTGTTCTACCAAACTTCTCTTTTAAGAAGATGTCTTCCTCCAGAAACACTGTTTGAAACAAATGAATGCCACTGATTCTCACAGAATTTAAATGGAGGAGGGACATCAACTTAAAACTGATTTAACTTTGGATCTTCAGTTTCTGGAGTTCTAGATTGGAACCTTCATTTAAATCCTAAGTAAAAAAAATATAAACATTTTTTTTTACTGTACTGAAACAAGGTAGTGAATGAAAAAGCCCAGATGTGACCCACTACTGACTTCACATTTGAGTAGAAGTGAAAAAGCAGAATGGTCTTAAAAACAGCAAACATACAAGCTACCAAATAAACGTGTGTCCAGGCTGCTCTGTTCTGGTAATTTAAACTGCTCAAGCAATGCTAAAATGTTAATTGTAAGCACTGTCTGCATGGTCTGATTGACTGAGCATCACCCATCTCTTTTCTGTTTATTTTTCTGATTCAGAAATAAATCCCCACCTTATATTTTTAACACAATTTGTTAAAGAGGTTTAAAAAGGTCCTCGCTTTAACCAAGAGTCATTCTTTCAAACCAGAAATCTTTTTGTTGTATAATTATCTTAGTTATAATCTTAAGTAAGAAGTTCTGATTTGGAACAGCTTTTGGAGAGCTCCTCTGATTAAATTGAACTATGTTGCCAGCTGTGACACTGCTCTTACTCATAGTGCACTTAACTACATAAATCAGTCTGGTAAACCTTTATTTTCTCTTTCTCTGTCTTTTGAAGCATCAAAGCTCTGTATGTAACTCACGGGTTGTGGTAGAAATGCAGCGAAGCAGTTTACACCAGGAAGTACACCTTTGTGTTTTCATATATAAACGTTTTCTTTCTGAAGTCTGGCTTTTAGAAATTTGAAGTTCCCAGCTGTTCCCATGTTTTTAGAAGTTTTTTTTTTTTATATCATCATTATTCTCTGAATACATGAGCGCGTCTGTTTTAGCAGAAATGTTTGCTGGAGGAAAGAAACCACCAAACATGAGTTATAGCATGACCTGTCAGATTTATAAACAAACCATTTTACTGTGCAAGTATCTAAGAATTTGGATAGAGGCTGGTTTTCTGAAAGGTTCTGGTGGATGAAACCAATATAAATAGAATGAAAGTTAATGTTTTTGCTGTGTTCTCCTGAGGCGCTGGATGGTTTTTCTTTAATCTGGAGGAAACTTGTCTTTAAAAATATGGAGAATTTTTCTTGTTCATTGTCCTCAATTTTTTTTTTCACCCCAGTATAGATGACACATCTTTCTCTTCTAATGGAGTAAGAAACAAACATTTATCACTAAGAAGTGTTTAAAGTAAACGTCAGCAATTGATAGATGTGTTTTTGCTCTCTTAGAAGTCCAGTTAATTGTGACATGAATGTGTTTTTACTGTAGTTTTGGAGTACAGCATACACTCAATCTAAACAAAGTTTATTTGTTGTGCTTTTTTTTTTACTTGAACTTTCTAATTAGGCTTAAACATGATGAGCAGTTGATTAATGAAGAACATTTTCAAAACATCATAATTTGGGTCTTATGTCTATGCATGTTATTTCTGTAATGAACTATTACAGATCTTCGGAAACTGTTATAAAAAACTTGTTTGTCCATTTGTGTTTGTGAGGATTTAGTTGTGATGAGTGTTAAGTGGTTTATAGTGCAGTGACTTTTATCCATCTGTTCAGCTGTGGTTGGAATGGAGTTGATATTTCTCTCAGGTGTATTGAAGCTGTGCAGAATTATGGGTCTTAAATGTTGTGGGCACCCTCCAACTTTGTACAGTTCGGTGTGTTATGCAAAGCAAAGGTAGCACAGGAAGAGATTTCATTAATTTCCCTGATACGGTTTTGGAGTGAGAGAACCATGAAGTTTTATATACTTAACATGCTGAATTTGGTTTTTTAATGGTTGGATGGGAGGTTGTGTGCTAAGTGATGTGATGGCCCTATTCTATCTTCAGTTTTCAGATATCATACTTGCACTTTCCAGGTGGTAATAGAAGGAAAAGTTATTTTGAGGAGACTTTTTCTGTGCTTTCCGGAATTCTTGTACATTTATGTAGGTCTATAGACTCTGCATTGGATCTCACCAGCCTAGAATGCTGCAGCTGATGTTTAGTGTCCCTCTTGCACAGAACATATTTCACAAATTGATTCTTTAGGCCTTCACATCTCTGAAGATATCGGTACTAGTTGATGACGTGGTCAGGTCTTGTGTGTAG